GCCCCTGTTTGGGTCATACACCGGCATTGAGACCTCCGTTATTCCTCTTTCAATCATGAAGTCTCGTAGTCTTGTTAGTGCCAACATCACGTGTTCGGGATCAATTGTGTTCCTGTCATTGACCCTCGTCACTAGGAAGCTCAGATATTTGCCCGGGACTTGTGCTACTGATGGTGGAAGCGCTGCCATCCCTCCCAGTCCTGGTCTCTGTCTGAACAGAAACTCCACGTTCTGGTACTCTCTTTTGAAGTCAGCTTCCAATCTTGATTTGAAACTCATGTCCGCCGTGATGCAGATCGCGCTAGTCCTGTTTGACAGGATGAAGTCGCTATCCGTTATCATGATGTTTTCCGAGTACTCATTGGGTATTTTAAATTTCGTTTTGAAATTCCGACCTATGGTAGGCTCTGGCTCTTCTTCTTCCAGTTCCAATTCGCTTGTTTCTCTCACTTCCTTGAGCTTCTTTATCATCAAATTTTCGGTGTGGGTAAGTCCTACCCCCACTTCCCGGACAAAAATATTTATCGACGTCCCCGTCGATGTTGTCGGGTCTGAATTGTCCGGAGGAATGTCCAGTGGCCTATCTGTTGCCGTCCATCCGAAAAGAGGGTCCTCTGCCTTCATATAATTTGCCGATGATACGTCGACTTGTTGAATGCTTTGTCCTTCGCGGCTCTCGTCTTTGACATCGTGCATCCACTCTAGTATCCTCAAGTTCGTGTTCTCCCTCCTCTCTATCTCACTCTGTTCGAGATCCGTCTCCAATTCTGGCGTCGAGTAGTCTTCCTGCGGATAGTGTCTACCATCGTCAATGACCTGCCATTCCTCTTCGGCTTCCAGTTCGCCTGCACTCAGTAGTTCCTCGCCCAATTTGTCTGGCTGTATCTTATCGATCAAGAAGTCATCCCCGTACCTGTTGTACCTCATGCCGGTCCGTTTACGATTGCCAGTCCTGGTTCCTGGTGGTATTGGTCGATCTGGCTCCATCCACTTCGGCACCTCATCTTGCTCCGGGTCGTTCCAGTCTTCTTCTACAAATGATCCTGCTTCAGACTCCACTTCTATCTTTTCATTGTCGTCCAAACTCAAGTTCTCATTACCATCATTCTTCTCTCTGGTGCCTTTCTTTTTCATTCACTTCACATGCTGGCTCTACCACCAGGTACGCAAGACCCTCTATGTCCTTCGGTATGCACCAATCCTCCGGGGACGGGACGTGAGGCTTCAGATTTTCATAATGTGCCGCTCGCCCAGTACTCAAGCGATAGAACCGTCCTTGTTGATGGACTTCCGTTATCATGAATGGTCCCCTCCACTTCTTGAGTAGTTTCTTTGTTCCCTTGGGCGGTATGACATCTTGGAAGACCCACACATATTGGCCCACTTCATATGGCTTTGCTTGTAATATTTTTTTGTCATATTTTCTGCGTTGCCTCATTTGCGCTTGCGCCGTGTTCCTCCTGCATAGCTCGTTTAACTCTTGTTGTCTTTTTATCGCTTCTTTCACGTATGCCTGAGGCGACGTCCTTTTCCCCTCGTATTCCGGGTAAAAGAATGTCAGAGGCATTGCCTTCTCCCTGCCCGTCAACATCATGAAGGGACTAATGCCCGTCGTTGAGTGCTGTGTACTGTTGTAGGCCCCTACCACCTGTGGCAGGTATTTATCCCAGTCCGTCATGTATCTTGAGCAGTACACCCTTAACATGTTGACCAGTGTCCTGTTCTGTCTCTCTACCAACCCGTTGGTCTGTGGATGGTAGGTTGTCGAGTGTGCTTGAGCAATGTGCGATCTCCTCATCAATTCTTTTGTCAAATCCCCCACGAAAGCTTTGCCGTTGTCCGACTGGAAAGTCATTGGACAACCATACCGCGATATCCAATGCGTTATCAGATGATCACATGTCTCCTCAGCCGAGGCTGTCTGGCACGGAACCGCTTCCGCCAACTTTGTGAAGTGATCTATTATAACCAGTATCTGGTTATATCCCGACTCCGTCATGCAGATTTTTTGATGGTCTATCTGCACCACTTCATTGAACTCTGAGCTCTCGACGGACTTGAGGGGGAACTTCATCTTCCTTGGGTCCTTTACCTGGAGGCATGCCTGGCAGGCACTCACCCATCTCTCGCAAGCTTTTCTCATCCCTGGCCAATCAAACCTGTGAAGTATCCTTTGTTGTACTTTGTCTATCCCCTGGTGCCCCATCTGGTCGTGCGATCTGAAAAGCACCTCCGTTTGATACAATTGTGGTAGTATGATGAGGTTGAGTTTGTGTAATATCTTCTCCTCATCTTTCCTCTTGCATGCTACCACCCCATCAGCTGTGTGATAGAGTAAGTCTTTCTTTTCTTTGTAGAACTGGCCAAGATCTTGTAGCTGTCTTCCTCGAGTTCCCCCTTCTCCTTGACCCCCGCTGGATCTATTTGGAGAGGTTACTTGTCATTTTGTCATTCTTTTGGGCTCTTATTAGGTCTGACAGCCTGTATCTCGCCTTGACATGCTCCTTTAGCGCCATGATCTGTCCATTCATCTCACCAGGGTTGTGAATGTCATCACTCAGCTTCACGCATATCATCCTTTTCACAATTTTCATATCATCTTCTGGCACCAGATTCGTTCTGACGTTTGAGTTGCATGATAGTTCCCTGAATGGCTTCCTTGAAACCGCAATTTTCTCAAGTTCTTCACCACCTCGTATCTCCTGTATGTCCAGATTGTACGTTCCTGAAGATGGATCCGTCTGTAACTCCCTGTCGTGGTGCCTTGTCTTCTCTTCCGCCAATATCATGCACAGACTGTCTTGGTTTTCGCTGCTCTCATCCGAGTCTTCATCCCGTCCTTCACGCTCCCCGGACAATTTTCCTTCTCCGGTTTCTTCTTCCGTGAGCATGGGACACTCCCCGGCCTCTTGACCTAGTCCCAGGTGTTCAGTATCTTCTTTGAACGTCACTTTCTTTTTCCTAACCTTGGTCTGCTCCAGAATGTTTTCGGGGATTTTGTCAACTAGTGACCGCACGACATCTTTGCTGTCAGTGACGCTTCCTCTTGAGGGGTCAGTACTGTTCACTGTTTCTTTTCTCCGAAGTATAGTGACTTCCGGTTCCTCTTGACCCTTCTCTTGGATCACGGGTTTATCATCTGATAGTTTCTCGAGCAACCTCATTAAGTCATCATCTATCTGTGCAATTCCTGCTTCTACCTGGTTAAGATCATAGCCGTTTGCCTTGAGCGTCTCCTTCACGATCTTCGACTTGAGTATTATCTCTATCGGAATCCTTTTGCTCTTCTTCAAGATGGTCTTCTCTGGAGGTTCTTTAGGTAATTCAGGATGATCTTCTATCGGTTTGCCTGATTTGTCCAGCCATCTCGTGAGTGGAAGACTGTCGTACGTTTCCTTGTCCATGAAGGAGAAGCCATCTTTGATTTCAGGTCTGTCTGCCTCTCTTTGCTCTTGTCTCTCATAGAACTCCGTCTTCTTACTCAAGCTGTCGGCATTCTGGTGTTTATCTTGTGTTCTATGCTCAATTATCATGTTGTATCCATCCAGGCAAACTATCCACCTCCCAATGTAACTTTGGTCCATTGAGTACGTTTTCAGCCAGCTCAGTGCTCGGTTGTCGACTCGCAACTTGAATGGCTCACTGCCCAGGTATGCCCTGTATTTCTCGACAAAGGTAACCACCGCAAACATCTCTGCTTTCGGTGCTTCGTACTTCATTTCCGTGTCACTCAGGACTTTGCAACCGTACGCTATTGGTCTCAAGACTGTCTTCCCATTCCATTCTTGTTCTTGGTGGAGAATCCCAGAAATCGCGACTACCGACGCATCCGTGTCCAGCACGTACATCCTTTTCTCAGTCGGCATACCCAGTACTGGTGCCTCACATAGCTCTTTCTTTATTCTCTGGAATGACTCTTCTGCTGCGTTGTTCCACGTGAACTTCTTGCCCTTGTGTCTCATTAATTGTTGCATCGGGTATACCTTGTCCGCATAGCCTTTGATGAACTCTCTATAATAGTTAGCGAAACCCAGGAAGCTCATCAACTGGTGCTCTGTCTTCGGTGATTTCCAGGTCAGGACTGCTTCCACGGCGTCCGTATCAGGTCTGATGCCGTGATTGTCTACCATCCTGCCCAAGTATTTTATTGAGTCCTTGAGTATCTCGCACTTTGATGGTTTACACTTTAGCCCCGACCTTTTCATGCATGCAAACACTTCGTCAAGTCTCTCAATGTGGTCTTCCAGTGTTGGCGTCGCTATTACCACGTCATCCACGTAGCACATTACCAGGTTGCCATACTTCTTCGTCACGCCTATCAGCGCGTGTGCCATCAACCGCTGAAACGTGGCTGTGGCATTGCAAAGTCCAAACGGCATCCGTTTCCATTGAAACAGACCCAACTCGCAGGCAAACCCTGTCTTGTCCCTGTCCTGCTTCCTTAGTGGTACCTGCCAAAAGGCCGAGCCTAAATCAAGAGTCGTAAAAAATTTTGCATCACCTAACTTCGAGAGGCTCTCATCAATCCTAGGTATGGGATAGGCATCCTTCACCGTGACGGAGTTCAGGTATCGAAAGTCACAACAAAACCTCAACTGGTCGCCTTTCTTTTTGGCCATCACTACTCCACACGCCCACGGTGACTTGGATGGTTCTATCATGTCATACTCTAGTAACGTCTCGATTTCTTTTCTACACGCGTCCGATTTGTGTGGGGTCATGCGCCTCGCCCCCCCCCCTGTGTGGTACCGCGTTTTCCTCAAGTTCTACTTCATGCTCAACAAAATTACAACACCCGATATCCGCCTTATGCCTCGAAAAAACTTCCTCGTTCCGCTCTAGTACGTCCTTGATGGCTTCGAGCTGTTCATCTTTCAGTTTGCCCCTCAAATGTTCAATCTCCGGCAGAACCGGTTTATCAGTTTGCATTTCATCTAGTGTGGGTCGCTCTGGAAAGTTCGAACAGCTCGACAGCCCATCATCCGTTTCTGACTTAAGTGATTTAATAAGACCTGAAGAATCTTTTATTTTCTGCAATCGTCTCAAGATACAAATTTTGTCCCTATGATTGGGACAATCAACAACTTCATTTTGTTTTGAGTTCTCGATCGTTTCATATCGAGTTTTAACCGGTAAAGCATATCCCAGTTTCCTCCCTCTCTGTATCGTGATCGGTATATCAAGGGTATTCAACAAGACACTGACGCAGAGGCCGCTCTTCGTTATCGAGAAGGATCTTCCTAAAACAGCAGCACTTTGACTATTAGGATTCGGAACTATACACACTTGCTTGTGGTCACTTAGTTCATTGTAATTTTTCATCCTCAAGCCTACGATTGCCGCTTCATTCGCCTTTAGCCTCACCCTCCTACTCAAGAATACTGGTGCTTTGGTTTCATTTGCCATTATTAAATTTACCGGTTTAATTGCGTACCTCCTATCCGGGTTGCGTATCCTAAACATTGCGTTATTTAGACCAATCGTTACGTCGAAATTCCTGATGCGGTCTCTGCCCAAAATGAATTCGTCAGATTCATCTAGGTTTTCTACCACGAGAAAGCTCAACCACAGGTTACGTTCCCCCAAATTGAGGGCTATTATCGGCGTCCTGCCCAGCACCCGAAGGGCCCCTTTGTTTGCAGCTGACAGCCGTATTCTCGAGTCTATCAAATCACCTTTGTCAAAGCCCATCCGTTCCCAAGTTTCGATTGGTATTACGCTCAAGACTGCTCCCGTATCAAGTAACCCACGTAACTGAGTTTTTCTGCCACTTATGTCTAGCACGTGCCCTGTCACATCTGCCTCCGTCCCGATGTGCATCGCATCTTCTTCAAGCATGGCGCAGTGTCCAATCGATCTCACTTTCAACTCTTCTTTCCCTACGTAGATTTGCCCAATTAGGTCTTCGTCACATGTTATCATTGTCTTGGTATAGATGTTTATTCCATCTATATTTAGCATCACCTCGTGTGGACCATAAGCTTCAGTATACCTGTTGTCAACACGTACCGACTTGCTGCCCCCTCTCGTGAGTAGTGCTCTCAGCGCTCTAGAAGTCGTTTGTGGGCTTATACAACTCAAGTAATCTGCGTACACATCAATGTGCATTATTGTCTGGTCGCTCGGTTCGCTCAAGTTTCTGGTTACCTCGTGGCCGCCCACTGTGATTATCGACATTATTCTAGCCCCGATTTTCGATATGCCAAATGGCTTTCCCGTCACCATTTTTACAGTGCTACAATTCCCGGTCTTTGTTGAGCCTGGTACAGCCTCTGGTGTTGGGTTTGATCCGGTTAATGCTTCGTTGAAATTCTGTCTTTCGATCTCCAGCTTTAGTCGTTGCTCTATTTCTTTCGCAGCCAGATCCTGTTTCACTTTGGCAATTGCTTCCGTCGCCGCTTTCTCATAGTTTATCTCTAGAGAGTTCCCGGCCGCGGATTCTATCGGACCATTAACATGTGTAACAGCTTTCACTGTTTTCGTCGGCAATTCCGTGCTTGGTGCTCCTAAGTTCCTAGATTCAAACTCGTTTTGTCTATTCCGCTGATTCTGCACCGCCGCTAATGCCAACTTATGTTTGGGGTGACTCTGGTCCTTGACCGCTTCCCAGAACAAGGGACAATCCATTCTGAAGTGCCCTTCTTGGTTACAGAAGAAGCATCTCGCTCCTATCTTGATGATTAAGCCACTATAGTACTCGTGTTCCTCCATCTGGCTCATGTCCTCCTCATCCGGTGCGTATCCTAGACTCTTCATGCCATGTTTGTATGTTGTGCAGTCAACCACATGGTGATCCGCCGACCCGCAGTTCGCGCATGATCTGCGCTTGTCCATGTCATCTCTAGGCTTGTACCATGACGACCTCTGAGGTTGACTTCCCCCTTGCGTGTTCCTGTTTTCTGAATATGAGTATTTCTTGGGTTCCATCAGCACGTATTCCCTTGATTTCTGTCTCATTTCTTCTGGGGTCGGTGCGCTGTCTTTCGACAATGTGTAGTATGTTGCTAACATTGTTCTTAAGTCATCACTTTTTACCCCATCAATGAACTTCGAGGCAATGCTAAAGTTTCTTCTGTTTGTCGACTCCTCTGGGTCACTCCTCCTTCTCAAGCTCTCGAGGTCATCTAGGAACCGATCAATTGACTCGTAGTCCCTCTGCCTTGTCTTTTCAAATCGCATCATCGCTTGGTGACCCTTCATGCCTGATCCGAATCGATTCAGCAATATTTCGAAGATTTTGTCCGCGGTATCGCGTTCTTCTTCTTTCTTTGCAACCACGCATTTCAATGCCGTGCCTTCCAGATTGCTGAGTATGGCTGTGCATGCTTGCCTTTCATCATTTAAGTTATCTTGCTCTAGATGTAATCTCATCACTTGCACCCACGTGTCAATGCATCCATCGGAGTCGTCTTTGAATTCTTTTGGCTTCTTGAAAGTTTTTCTTGATTTTCCGTCTCTCCTATCGCTCGAGTCAGTGTTCCTCGTGGCGAAGGCCTCTAGAGTCCTGTTCATCAACTCCCAAGTGCTTGCCCACGTCATGGCATCCGGACCTGCGTTGCTGCTAGCTGTTGAGTCCCCCGGACCACTCGTTGTGTTTGATGTCCCATTTTTCATGATTGTTTTAGCAGCCGTTGGTGCTATGCTTACCGCATTCCGGTTTAAAGGGAACGGTGTCGAATGCCGTTTGTTCCTTTGTGGTTCCACAAAGTCCACTCTGGTGCCTTGTGTGCGATCCGCTGCCGGTCTTTCTTGTGAGGTAGAATTTCTCAAGATTGCATCCAACTTCGCCTGTATTGCACACGAACTTTCGGCCTGATTCCTGTTCATTGTGTCCATTCTCTTTTTCAGGCTACCTAATTGGCTGTTGACATCATCATATCGGTTTTTCAACTGTTGCATATCTCTTTTGATGTTCTTATCTCGTTCTTCATTGGTGGCATCTACCTTGTACGACATCTGCTGGAGTCTCTCGTCTGTCGCCTTAGCCAGGTTAAAATAACTATCCAGATACTCGTGTTTGTTGTATTTCAACTCTTTCCTTATTAAGTCTCTATCTTCCTCACTGTACTTCAGTTTCTTGTCGATCTGATTTAGTTTTGTCATCAGGTCTCCAAGCTCAAGAGTAGCTGTTTCATGATCAGCCGTTATATTGTTTTCGGCCGTCGCTTCCTTTCTGGCTTGTTCTTCGTTCAGGTCAGCTTCTGTCGCCTTCGCGCTCACTGTCCCAAATGTTCGTGCTCTTTCAGTTTTTGATTCTTCGGCCGTGTTTTCCTTCGATTTCATTCCGACCATCATCGCCAATTTTTCTGTAAAACATGTTTTCTTTACTTGAGAGTCGTCTTTCACCGTTTCTCGGGTATTGCCTGTTGTGTCTTCCAACGCGTCTATCGGCGAAAACTCCACGGTTTTTGGATTTTGATCTTCCATATGGGGCATCGGTGTGGATTCCGTAGTCTTCTTCTCCACTTCATCTACGCTCTGGTCTGGTGTCTCTAGATCGATTTCAATTGTAGGCTCCACCTGTTTGTTTTTAGCACCTTCTCGCGTCTTGTTCTCGGTACTACTCCTCGTGCTGACCATGCTAACTGAAAAGTTATCTTTTGTTTTGCTTGGGCCCATTGATGTCGTTCCGCGCAGCGACGAGTTATATTTCGTGTTTGATCCACTTGACCCTTTTTCGAGCACCGGTACCCTACTCCGTCTCATTATTTCTATTTACAATTGCTCTTATTTACAATATTATTATATACACAATTCTAGTCTAAGAATAAAATCTTTTGTGGAAAAAAAATTCTTAAAAGGAAATATACAACGTGATAAAAACCTTTCGTGAAACTTTCTTTATTTGTGGTCTCAACCGTACCGGGTTCCGACTAGTATTGTTCTGTTTTAATTCTGTCTCAAAACACTTATTGTAATTTCACTTCTATTTTTATACCGTCCTAAGACTTCCAATTATCGTCCCTACTCTTCTTTGTACCGTCCCAGGCTTCTTTCTACTGTCCCAAGACTGTTCGGTACTGTCCCAGTACTTTCCGTCAGTGTCCCAAGACCCTTGTCCTGAGAGTACTATCCCAGGACCACTGTCCCAAGACTGCACCAAGAGTACTGCCCCAAGGTCAGTGTCCCAAGGCTAGTGTCCCAAGACTACTGTCCCAAGACTACTGTCCCAAGGCTACTGTCCCAAGGCTAGTGTCCCAAGACTAGTGTCCCAAGGCCAGTGTCCCAAGACCACTGTCCCAAGACTACTGTCCCAAGGCTAGTGTCCCACGACTACTGTCCCAAGACTACTGTCCCAAGGCTAGTGTCCCAAGACTACTGTCCCAAGGCTAGTGTCCCAAGACTACTGTCCCAAGGCTAGTGTCCCAAGACCACTGTCCCAAGACCACTATCCCAAGACCACTGTCCCAAGACCTCTGTCCCAAGACCACTGTCCCAAGACCACTGTCCCAAGGCCACTGTCCCAAGACCACTGTCCCAAGACCACTGTCCCAGGACCACTGTCCCAAGACCACTGTCCCAAGACCTCTGTCCCAAGACCACTGTCCCAAGACCACTGTCCCAAGACCACTGTCCCAAGACCACTGTCCCAAGGCTAGTGTCCCAAGACCACTGTCCCAAGACTGCTCTGGTTCAAGACTGTCCCAGGACTGCACTGTCCCAAGACTGTTGACAAGTGTCTGAGCGGTGGGACCTCTTTCTTCTTCGTTGATTCACTGTACCTTGTACCACCACTCAAGCTCTAGTAAAAAGTTTCCCAAAAACCCTCTCTTAATGGCCAAATGCTGACCCCCCCTTTTTTAGTTACCTCTTTTTCAATGTTCCAAGCAACTTGAAACCAAAACCTGTGCGCAGGTATCTTGTGATCACCTGTTCGTATAAAAGCCAAACACAAATCCTTACCAAAATTCAACAAAAATCTAAGCAAGAAAAAGTAATAAATACAGAGAGATGAACCCACCTAAAATTCAAAGGTGACAAATGTCTACATTCTATCGAAAAAATGTCTG